TCCATTTTACTCCATTATACAGCAAAAATTCCGATTTATTCATTTATTATAAAAATGGAATTTTTCCGGGTCTCTGTATAAGAATGCCTTTCCGATCACATGTTTGTGGCTTGGGAAATCAAAATAGATAAATAGATGTTCGCGCTTTTTATATAGCTAAGTAGACGTAAAAATGATTTTATTACCTGAATGCTTAAAGGCTCTGAAATACAGTGGTAAATATAACTATAGCAGTGATTTCTTATGACAATACTATCTAATGTAACCTGGTCGTTTGTAAATATTTAGCTTTTTGGCAGAATAACGATAATCCTTCGCTCAAAAATTTTTAGACTTTCGTTTTAACTCAGGCAATTTAGAAAACCAGACAATAGAGCACAGTCGGCATCGGAGTGAATTAGATACAATAAACACTTATCATACAGAAACTTCGGAAGTCGGACGAATTGTAAGAAAGTGTGAAAAGGAATTCGCTGTAAATATTCTTTTTTTATTCGAGATTGTAAACCACGTTTGAAAAGGAATATCAAAGAAGTGAAAAGAGACGAATGTGAACCAAGCTCACGCTTTGTTAAAAGCGTTAATTATAAATATTGCGGTGCTTCAACGGGCCACTTAGCAGATTGCGGTTTGCACGGACTACCTTGTGAATTGTGGTTTGCAAGGGAATGACTGCGGTTCGTCCGTAGTGACTATTGGATTGCGGTTCACACAGACTACCTTGTGGATTGCGGTTTGCAAGGGAATGACTGCGGTTCGTCTGTGGTTGGCTCTGCAAATATATTTATGAAGCATGACGAGTGGTTAAAAAAAATTCGGCATTGTAGCTGAATAAAGATAAGATTAACCTTATAATACCTTTCTTTTTATTTAACAAGGATGATAAGAATAGCAGAACAATAAAACTTTTTTGGAATAAACAAGATATCGCTATTGAGTCCGAAATAATCGACGAAGAAGCCCAATTGCAATGGGTAGGTTGTCTTTATGAGATTTATCTCTAGAACCAATGTTTTATTAACTCATTTATTTGATTTTTTTTAGAGAAAAGGGAATTTAGAATTCGAAAGAACAGGTCTCAACTACCTTCAAGCGACGTCATCCGCCGTTCAAGAAAAACAAATTTCAAGCTACACATCTTACAAGCAGAGTACATCGAAGTTTGCAACATCAACAAAGAAGGTGAGCCCAGCTAAGATTTCAAGGATAATTACATTGAAACTAACTGATTTATGACTTTTCTTGCATGAAAGAAATCGACTAGAAAAAGAAAATCAGTAAGTTATACTGAAAGTTCTGAGGAAGAAGATCATTCATCTGATCAAGACTACACGGAGAAACCAAAGAGAGTAAGTAATTTTTTATTGTTTCGCGCGATTATAAGTATTCTGATTCTGATTCTATTGAACTTATCAAGAAACAGGAATCAAGAAGATCAAAGCGATTACGGGGAAAAGCGAACTGTGATGATATGGACAAAGGTGACATTACCGTAGAAACTTTAGAGGATGAAAATACATCAAGTCCGGCTCAACCAACCATGGTCTCAAATACCTCTGAAGATACTACTTTGTGCGAAATTACTCCAAGTACACCCCAGCAATTAAATACTTCAGAAGATTTCGCAACTTCACGCGAAAGTACACCTTGTCCAACAGTTCATTCAGCTACAAGCGACACCTAATAAACCCATCATCACGAAAGCAACATATGATGAATTTTCTGCACACATAATTTGTGCTTTTAATACAACGATACATCTTGTCAAAGAAACGATCAAAGAACCAACAATGTATGAGAGAGTTAGAAATATGCTCCAGTCAAGAAACAAACTGGCTATGAGTGATTCGATAATCAAAAAGCTCGAAAACATATTTCAAGCAAACTATTCTGAAATCGAATCAAAAATAATTTCGGAAACAAATATTGGAGATAATCAAACATCAGAAGAGGATAGATTTATGTTCTTTATACGATGTGCGTTACTGGACTTTGTCTTTAGGTTTAGATATTTGATGCCGAAAGTCTTAGACCGAGACATGCTTGAACGATCCTACATTGTCGAATGTCTGTCCCCAATTCTGCGAGCATTTCGCAATGCTTTTCCTGACGTCAAATACATGTGGTTAGAAAAAGACGTAAGATCTATAAAGGAAGCGAATATCATGTTTACAAGTAATTTTGGGAACGAAAAACAGATTTACTCATCCTCCGATTATCAGATGCAAGGAGCTTTTGAATGTAGAAGTGTCTGGGCCTCCTTATAGATTAACAAAAAAACACACGGTTGGCGATGTCAAAAAACTACTAATTATGGCTATCTGCAGTTTGTGTCGGCTCCTTGGCAATAGCCTTGATTGCAATATTGAGGACGCAAAAAACGTTAAAACCTATAGTATCCAGGTCATAGGAGATCGACTTACGTTGTTTGCTGTCTCTTTAGTAGAAAAAAGAAAGTATCTGGCTGTCGAATTGGCTTCCTGTGTGACTCCATTCGCGTTTGACGCAATCACATGTTACATGAAGATTTTTAATTTTTTTTCAGTTATTCGAAGTGAGTTCGTGGAACAAGAAAAATTACAAAAGAAAATTCGTTCCTTTATTCCAACTGACAAGTTTTCTGAAAATGTAAGAGAGTGGTTACACCTACCGGACGATGACATTTCACTTGTAACAGAAGAAGATATGGACGAAATCTTTATGATGTGAGATTCTATTTTTTTATATTGCAATCTCTATCATTTACAACGGTTACAAATGTGGTTGAATTATTTGTAAATTCTTATGTAAAATAATTTATACAGTAGTTATTTGTTGCTGTAATGCGTAACTATTAATAAAGTATCTTTAGTCTGCATACAACTTTGATTTATGGTGTATATCGGAAATCAGAAAAATATACTTTATATTTGCTTTGTCTAATCTTTCAGCTCTTCCCACACAGCCCATAGTTAAATTATGAGTAAAAAAATTTCAATCATGACTTAAATTTTCTGACTATCATAATAAAATCCCAATAGTATCAGACGAGAATTTCGTCATGTGAGGAAATCGATCACTTGAAATGCGCAGAAGATATTCTTGCCGAAGAATAGGGCTGTGCGACGTGCGAATCGCATATATATTCGCATGATTTCCCAAAAAAAAAATTTTCCTTTACCGAGGTAAACAAATACGAATATTGCAACTATGTAAATAAGCAAATATAACGGGCATACTCACTGCGTATCTTAGTGTGAGAAAGTGCCAGTGAAACGAAAGTTACTTAGCGAAGTGTCGGACGAGACATTACGCAATTAAGGGTAGGTTTACTTTCGGTTTAGGCTGAGCATTTGCAAGACAACGTCTTCAAAGCTTGTAACTAACACATAGTTTTCCCTTTCAAGGTTATCGTTAGCGTCACGACCGATGAAACGGAGGTTAGGATGAAAAACAATGAATATAGCGGGTTATTGGGTGGTAGATAGAATAGACGCAATGAATAGGATAGATCTGATGTATTGCAAATAAAAAGCTTGCATTGATTAACTCTTCGCATATAGATAGCAGAGTAGTAATGGACGAATTGATAAGGATCTGATAGTTTGATCGTACTCACACTAATGCAGGGCATTTAGGGACGAAATCTTAATTCGTGATCGGTAAGTTGGATTGACAACGAAGATCGGGATTTTCTTTGTTTTGCAACTATCTCTGCAGACCCTTAGCATAATAGGTGCGTCTATTCACACTAATTTCGGGCTATTATTTCACCTGCAGATCAAAGAGAAATCAGGTCGAGGGGGAAACTGTATAAGTAGAAGACGGGTGTGGAAAACGCATAGGAGTGTTTATTTTCTCTTTACACTATGGCTAGTGAACCTTCGAGCGTCACTATAGCCAGTGAACCTTCGACCAGCACTTCGGAAATTCAAACAGATACTTCTGAGCCTTCCCAACTCGAAGTACTTGCATTAAATTATCTTCGAAATCAGGAGATTTCAACTATCCCCACCAGAATTCCGAAACTCAATCCTTGCAGTATTTGCCGAAAAGCAATCCTAAAATTCCGATTTCAATCGTTCGTTGTATTGGATTGCTAACACCTTTTCCACCGCCTATGTCTCGAGAGATATATTATGCAAGCAGAAACAGAACCTCTTACATGCCCTTCGTGTAATATAACCATTGAGCTGACTAGAGAAGAAGCAGTACTCGCCTCTGGAAAATATCATCTTCAGAAAAAACAAACTGACACTGGACAGGATGATGAGGAGCTCATGGCTTCGCTAGGATTGGTAGAAGGTGGCTCTCGTGCTGGACAAGGGAGTCAGTTGAAGCAAGTCACTATGCAGGATCAGGCGACAAGTCCAATCATGATTGAGGATGATGATGATGATGATAACCAGTCTAATTCTGTTGATAATAGGTAAGCAGAGCAAATCCATGCTCAGCACCTCCAGACATTCTCGCATATATTTATGCAATAACTGTTCCCACTCTCATCTTTTATCTATATCCAGAACTCCGGAAAATCAAGCTAATTCTAATGATGAAATCCGCGCCACTAATACACAGGATAACTTGGAGAATCAATCTAATGCAAATAGCGGGGATGACACCAACGTGCAAGAAAGTGAATATCAATCAAGAAGAAATTCATCAAGAAGACGAACATCTCCAAGGATCACTCGTGAACAAGAAAAATTCCAGGCCCTGTTGCAAGAATTATCTACGCCTGCCAAGGGAGAGAAAGCTGAAAATGTTGATGAGGAGGAGGATGCTGATGGATCTGTATCACAAAGCTTAGCCCGATTATATCAAAAGGCAACTCGTGCTGGATTACGCGTTACAAAGGCAAATCAAGATGAAATTTTATGTTGGTATAAATATGCTGAAGGGTTCGAAAATAGGGTTAGGGAAATCAGATCTCAAGATTCATCAGTTACCGATCCAACAGCTAGAAGTCGAGCATACCGCGAAGTCTCTCAACATCTTCCGGGAATTACAGAAGCAAATTTGCGTAAGAAAACCCAGAAAGCAAGGAATATATATAAGGTGTTTGTAAGGATAGGGACAAACAAGATCAAGTGGGTGAAATCATATAGCGCCGATGCTATTTCAAGCCTATCTACTACCCAAATTCAAAGTATTTCTCTATGTAATCATCTATCACGTGATTCCGTGAATATTATTCACGCTGTCACGTGACTACTGCGTCTCATATTATTGCAAATATTTCTGCCCATATTTACTATTTCGCATTATTTATAAATAAAGTTAGTTTGCCCACATTTCGGGCTTTATTAGTAATAAAAAAAAGTTGTATGCCGATTCATTGCACAGATAAAATTAAAAATGTTTTTTGACTTCAAGCTTATGCAAGAAGACAAGCCTTTATTAATATAAAAATGTCGCTGTGACAACAATATACAAATAAAATATAAAAACTGGCTGGCCCAAATTTCGAAGCCAGAGAATAATTTATAAAATAATATTTATCCATCAGACACGAATATTATGTGTGGATGGTAATCATGCTCCTCATCCCATTCTAATTTTTCTCTCGAAATTGGCTTCCAGTAATCGCCTCTCTCAATATAATCGCTGTTATCTTTAGGGGCGGGCTTATATGTCGAATTATCTGATTTAAAGCATAGACATCAGACCGGAAAGTTAGTATTCATTCGAAGCGTCCTTTTTTCTCATTTTCTTGAGGATACATAAAGAAAAAGGAAGTTGATACTTACCATTTCTATTTGCTCTTAGCAAGGGATGTGTCGGTCAGCTGTTTATATTAATAGGAAGGAAATTTGACGAATTAGGCACAGGTGCTGGTAGGTCATCAAGATCATCAAAATCATCAGCTTTGGAGGCGTTAGAAACGTAATTTTTAGGCGCGTTGGAAACGTCAGTCTTGGGAATATTAGAATTAATAGTCTTGGATGTATTAGAGATGTTAGTGTTAGGCATATTTAAGGGTGTATTCGAAACATCAGTCTTGGGAGTATTAGTCTTAGAATGTTAGTATTGCTCATTTTTGCGACTCCTAAATATAATGTAGGCAATGTTAATGCTAACTCACCTTATGGGCCAAAACTCTCCTATTTATAGTGTTTTATTCGCTTGGCCAGGAACTTTACTAAAGTAAACACTTTTTGGTTAGCTTTGCTTAACAAATCTCCGATTCTCTGCTCCATAATGCCAAGCAAACCCCTTTAGCCTGACAATCTCTCAAGCAGATGTAAAGTTGGTTGGCGGAGATTTCAAGTCCCACAACATATGAATTTTGATAATATTTTTGATGGAACTCTCTCTCTTCTTAGCCTTTTTGAGTTTCAATCATAATTATACTTCCGTTTATTATGGCAAAAAATAAGGAAAGGCTAGAAGTTTTTTATGATCGATTTTGAATAACCACTGACTTATATGCATGTAAATATAAAATCATAGCTGAGATATAAATCCCCGATATGCTTATAATCGAATAAAAATGAATCTGATATTTTATTATAATATACTTGCTATAAATTGCTAAAAACGCTATAAATCTATAAAATCAGTGAAATTGTTATAAACTCTCTACACCTTTAAAATGGTTAAAACTAACTACTATTCTGGTTTAAATCCTGTAGTAGTGCAGGCGTTGAACAATCTGCAATATAGGTATAGTGGTGAAACGCCAGAAATGTGATGTTCTCGTGTTCATTATCCATTTAAGAAACTTCTTGAATATAACCCAAAATACTTCTCCAAGAATGGATTTATCCAAATGATTGAAAGATCATATAAAGATGGAGAATTTAAAGCTGGGAGACGCTCATTTCATATTTATTGCACTGTATGTGACTCCTTAGTAATTATCTGTGAAAATACCATTGAATGTGGTAATGATTATCTGAAGAAATGTATTACTAAAACCGCTAAGATTCATTCTAATTCTGTATAAAAGAATGTGAAAAAAGGAGAAAGTGTATCATCGCTCAGTTCTGATGAAGTTGATGAGATTTATCTAACATATTCGGTTATGTACAGTAAAGGTTTAGCTCATTATAGTTATGATTATTCACATGAAGGTAGGAAAAAGATTGTAAATTGTTTAATTGATAGTGCAAAAGTTATCCAGCGGGCTTGGAGAGCTTATAAGTCAAGACCTGAAACTTGGACAAAACAAGTTTGAAATATGGTGAGAAATGATAATACTCCTGACAAGAAGAAGTATTTAGGTATAACTCCTCATGCTATAAGAATTCCTGATGATCGATATGTAGACTATTTTGGTCAAAGAATTCTAGCCAGAGATGTACCTATATATTATCAGAATAAACCTAGTTTGCGTGGTTTGTATTATCATTATATTCCACAAAGCTGGGCAGAAAAGAAGAAAGATCAGTTATATGTTCGACTAACTATTGTAGCATATATAGTTACTTTTATAAAATCGTATCAGTAAGGTTATAGATTCATTAGTTATAGTGATTAGACTATTATGCTAAAATATCTAGAAAATTCTGGACATTACTGTACTACTAAAGACTATTATAACAATATTGTTACAAACTTTGTTAAAATTTCAGAATACGCGCGATATACATATAAAAAGGAAGGCAAACTATATCCATGTAATTCACTAGAAATTAACATATTCAAATCTTCTTATATTTCTACTTTCAACGGAGGGTTAACTATTATAGATTTCTCAGATTTTAACAATAATGGTGAATATGTACAATGAATTTTCTGGACTATAGAATCAATATTAAAATAGTATATTTCATATTCATGTATAATTATTAATAAATCAATCATTTTTTTTACTTCGTTCATACATGCAGTGATCGCCTGTAAAATGTATTATCTGCAGGATAAAAATTGGCTAAAGGTGCTATGTATGATCTACCTATTCTAAGTTAGATCCTTGAATCTATAACTATTTTAATAAAGTATTTTTTGAGAAGTTCAGGAAGATCAATGAAGTGATCTTAGGGATTCTTGATTGCGAGACAATATGACTATTAGTTTGAGAATTTCTATACAGTAGTTATCCAGCGAGTTTACAAGAATTACAAAAAAAGACCTGAGTCTTTGGCAAAATAGGTTTAGGAGGTGGTGAGGAATGATGGTACTTCTGACGATAAGAAGTTTTTAGATATTGTTTCTCGTGGTAAAACATATCATTTCATTAATGAAAAATTAATAGAATCTAATTATATGAGTGACTGATTTTATGTAGAAAATAAGCATAACATTTATTTTGCTGATACTTGGGTAGAAGCAAAGAAAAATCAGTTATATAGA